AGTTGGAGGTTGCTGTGAGTGTGATGCCATGGCACTCTACCCAGGGGGATAGCTTGAGGCTCCGTCTCAAAAAAAAAAAAAATAGAAAAATTAACCAGGTGTGCTGGTCTACACCTATAGTCCTAGCTACTGTGAGGGCTGAGCCAGGAGGATTGTGTGAGCCAGGAGTTCGAGGTTGAAGTGAGCTATTGATTGTGCCTGTTAGTAGCCACTCACCCAGCCTGGGCAACCTAGTGAGACCCCCACCTATAAAAGTTCTTTTTTAACTGAAAAAAAATTTTTAGATCATAACTGTTAATTGGGAAAATGGTATTATGAGCCATATGAAATAATAAATGTCCAGGAATAAAAAATTCATAAGAAAAAAAGAAATAATAATTGAAGGAAGTCCCAGGCACTTGTTGCTTCCTGGTTGAAATGCTGACTGTTAAAGAGTGTGAGTCTTGGCTGGGTGCTGTGCGTTCACATCTGTAATCCTAGCACTCTGGAAGGCCAAGGCAAGTGGATCTCTTGCACTCAGGCCTAAGTCCTGTCTCTACTAAAAATAGAAAAGCTAGGTGGATGTGGTGGCCCATGCCTGTATTCCCAGTTACTCAGGAGATGCGGTAAGAGGATTGCTCAAGCCCAAGAGTTTGAGGTTGCTATGAACCATATCTCATAATGCCAAATGCCATGGCACTCTCCCTAGGGGGACAAAATAAAACTCTGTCTCCAAAAAAAAAGGGCAAATCTTGAACACCTTAGGAGTGAAAGTCAGGTTAGAGCTCCAGTGAGCCTTTCTGTTGGCCTAGATTGCTGTGCATGGCTTATGGGTACATACGGAACTTGGGATGTTTTTGGTTTAGACAGAGAGCAGGTGGGTTTCAAGGGGTCAGAAGCTACAGAGGGGAAGCCCCCAGGCATCTCTTCCTGGCATCTGTCACAGCTGCTCCAGCTGAGGCAATCCATTGTCTGGCTGCCACTTGTGCATGTGGGCCGTTTCCTGAACAGAGCCCATTTGCCCCCCCTTTACCAGCTGGGTCAACTGAGGATTCAGAGGGCTGGTACCTCCCTGGCCAGCCTGGTGCCTCTGCCCTCCCTGTCCCTCAGATCTGACTCTGTTGCCCACTGGAAACTACGATGGCCTCACAGATTCTGATCAGAGGCTACAAAGGTGTGAGGGGCAGACTTTGGCCCTCTGGGTCTCAATTTTTCTTTTTCTTTCTTTTTTTTTCTTTTCTTTTTTTTTTTTTTTTTTTTTTTTTAGACAGAGTCTCAAGCTGTCACCCTGTGTAAAGTACTATAGCGTCACAGCTCATAGCAATCTCAAACTCTTGGGCTCAAGCGATTCTCTTGCCTCAGCCTACCAAGTAGCTGGGACTACCGGCGCCTGCCACAATGTCTGGCTATTTTTTTGTTGCAGTTGTCATTGTTGTTTTAGCTGGCCCAGGCTGGGTTCGAACCCACTAGCCTTGGTGTATGTACATGGCCAGCATCCCACACACTGAGCTATGGGCTCTGCTGCCTTTTTTTTTTTTTTTGAGACTGTCATTTTGTCGCCCTTGGTAGAGTGCTGTGGCATCATTGCTCACAGCAACCTCAAACTCCTAGGCTCAAGTGATTCTCTTGCCTCAGCTTCCCAAGTAGCTGGGACTACAGGTGCCTGCCACACGCCTGGCTATATCTTTAGAGATGGGGTCTCACTTTTGCTCAGTCTGGTCTCAAACCCATGAGCTCAGGCAATCCACCCACGTTGACATCCTAGAGTGCTAGAATTACAGGCATGAACCCCTGCATCTGGCCTCAATTTTTCTTGGTTACCTCTGAGCATGGGGAGCTCACCACCTTCAGTACCTAAGGGAAGTGGTGGGTGGGCCCTTGGGGACCAGGGCTCCCTGAGGTGTGAGTGCCCACCACCTTCCCTCCCACCCCCGTGGCCTTGCAGAACCACTCATGGAGCGAGCTCTACTCCTTTGCGCTCTTCAAGGCCATGAGCCACATGCTGTGTATTGGGTACGGCCGGCAAGCTCCTGAAAGTATGACTGACATCTGGCTGACCATGCTCAGCATGATTGTGGGTGCCACCTGCTACGCCATGTTCATCGGCCATGCCACCGCCCTCATCCAGTCACTGGATTCCTCACGGCGCCAGTACCAGGAGAAGGTCTGGTGGGGGCAGGCCCTGCCCTGGGGTCTAAGGGGGGAGGCAGGCCCCGCCCTGGGCACTGAGAGGCAAGTCCCACCCAACCCTCCTCAAAGCCCTGCATTCTCTGTATGCTCACGGCAGGGATGGAAAGGGGTGCTGGGAACAGTGTAGTGGGGAGTAGGAACACTGGATGAAGAGGAGAAAGGAAAGCCCTTTGGGTGGAGGGAATAGTTCCTGGGAAGCCTTTTAGGGGAGAGGTCCTCACTCATAAAACTCATGGTCTTTAGAGGGACTGAGGGCTTCAGAGGGATCCCAGAGGGAGAACAGAAGATGGCCTCTCTTGGGAGGCTGGGCCCATATGGGGGTCAGTGGGTTGGCTCAGGACTGGGCTGGAGTGGGGAGGGTGGCTAGCCAGTCGAGTCTGAGAGGCTGGGTGTTGCTCAGGGTGAGGGTTCAGGGAAAGCAAGGCTGTCTGGCCACTCAGACTTGGCCTCCAGACCTGGGAGTGCAGCCTCAGGACTAGTCCTAGGATTGGCATTGGGGGCTAGGAAGAGTGGAGAGAAAGCAGTGTGGGCCCTATAGGTAGTACCACCCAGAGTTATGCCTCAGTCTCAGTCTCCTCCCTCTGTGAGGCTGCCCTGTCTGTCCTGCTGCCCTCCCTGTCCAGGAGCTGCAACCCCCCAGCAGGACCAGCCGGATCAGCTGGGCTCTGTGCCAGGTGCCCGGCCGTCCGGAAGCCGTGGGTTTCACACCCAAACACGAGCTGGTGCCACCACCCGCCCGCCGTCACGGGTTCTGCTGAGCTCAGGACAGCTGCAGCTGGGCAGGGTTGGGGTGGAAATGGGTCAGGGGCATCCCTGGGGGTGCCATTCTGGGGACAGCAGGGCCTGGCACCCCTGCCTGGCCCTGCACCCCTGGCCTGATGGGAGGGCAGAGCCAATAGTTTCTAGAAAGATCACCTGGGGGAACTATCATCACCAGCAGGGTAGGGGCTCTGGGAATGGGTCTGGCATGTAGGGGGACCTCGAGTATTCAGTACAGCTTCCCATAAGAAGCCCTCCCCTCAGCTGGGAGTGATAGCACCTGTAATCTCAGCTACTCAGGAGGCTGAGGTGGGAGGATCCCTTGAGCCCAGGAATCTGAGGCTACAGTGAGCTATGATGGTGCTACTGTATTCCAGCCTGGGGAACAGAATGAGACCCTGTCTCAAAAAACAGACAAAATCAATCAAAAACTGAGTGGAGATATTACCCTATTTCTTAGGGATAGGCTAGCCAAATAAAATTCAGGATACCTAGTTAAATTTGAATTTCACATAAATAGTTTTCTTGGTTTTCTTTCAAATATTGCATGAGATGTACTTCAACTAAACATTTTTGTTGTTTAGCTGGAATTCCATTTTAACCAGGCATCCTGAATTTTATCTGTCAAACCTAACCTGATAATTAATTCAATATTATTTTGGAATTATTATTTAGAATATTAGTCAATATAGGTGATTTAAAATATTAATGAAGAATTATCTGACTACTTAAATTCAATTTTAAATGTAGAAATTTATATTTGTTGTTGTTAAGTGGGGCAGGAGGGTCCAGCTTGTCCTGGGCTGTGCTGAGCTGGACTGGACTGGGCGGGGCCTTCCATCCGTGGTGTCTGACCTGGCTGGCCCTCTGCTGCTTACAGTACAAGCAGGTGGAGCAGTACATGTCCTTCCACAAGCTACCTGCCGACTTTCGCCAGAAGATTCATGACTACTATGAACACCGCTACCAGGGCAAAATGTTCGACGAGGACAGCATCCTGGGAGAGCTCAATGGGCCCCTGCGGGAGGTGAGGCGGGTGCCAAAGGGCAGGGGCTAGTGGGAGGGGCCCGCAGGACTCAGGGTTAGCCACCCCCTCCCTGGCTGCTACATTCTGGGTCCTAGAGGGGGAGGAATGGCCAGCTCAGCTGCAGCATGGAGGACTTAAGCTAGACTTATACCTATAGCCTTCCCACAGTAGACTCCCTTCCGTGGAGCCTCATCCCCTGCCCTCCACCCCAGGACTCCCCAGACACACCCTGCCTGGTTCCACCTGCTGCATTAGCAGACCTGCTGAGATCTGTACCAAGTAGAGCAAGTCAGACTGGAGTGGGGGCCTTGCTCTGGGGTTGGTTGTCCAGCCCTGCTGAGCACCAAGGGCTGACCAGCTGATTTAAATCCCAGCTCTAGGCTCGGCGCCTGTGGCTCAAGCGGCTAAGGCGCCAGCCACATAGACCAAAGGTGGCGAGTTCGAATCCCCAGCCCGGGCCCGCCAAACAACAATGACGGCTGCAACCAAAAAATGGCCGGGCGTTGTGGCGGGCGCCTGTAGTCCCAGCTACTTGGGAGGCTGAGTCAGGAGACTCGCTTGAGCCCAGGAGTTGGAGGTTGCTGTGAGCGTGATGCCATAGCACTCTACCCAGGGATAGCTTGAGGCTCCGTCTTAAAAAAAAAAAATAAAATAAATCCCAGCTCTAGCCCTTGTAGCCTGTGCAACCCTTGGGTAAGTTTCCTGGGGCTTCTGTAATAGACACCCACACATTGAGCCACTTAAACAGTCCAGAGGCCAGAAATCCAAAATCAAGATGTTTTGGACTTTGCTCCCTTCAAAGGCTCCAGGGGAGGATCCTTCTTGCCTCTTTAAGTTTCTGGGGGCCCCACACGTTCCTTGGCTTGTGGACACATCCCTCTGGTATCTGCCTCCATCTTCTATAACCCTCTTCCTTTACCCTTTTTCCTGTGTGTTTCTCTCTCTCCCTCTTCTCTTTATAAGGACTCAGGTCCACCCCACTCCAGTGTGGGCTTACTTAATTATTTACATCTGCAAAGACTATTTCCAGACAAGTTCCCATTCACAGGTACTGCAGCTCATAGCTTCCCACACCACTCAAGCAGTTACTGAGTGGTGACTGGGTGCCCTTCCCTGTGTGTGACAGTCCTTGCCCTCAAGAAGGTGGGGCAGAGGGACAGAGTACACTGACACAGAAAGTGTCAGAGAAGCCGGGGGAGAATCAGGAGCAAGGAGAGGAGAGAATGAGGCTGCATCGTCTGTACAAAGGGAATTGCCCAAGCTGTGGTGGTGTCCCAGGCAGAGAGTATGGCAAGGACAAAGATCCCCAGCAGGGAATGATGACATGGGCTTGGAGACAAGCTTGAAACTCAAGTGCTCGGCAGTAGAGGGGCCCAGGATTTCTTCTGGGGGCTCCCATTTATGCACACTGCCTCCCAGGAGGAAGGCACCATGAGAAACTTTATCAAAAATGTTTATTTGCATTTGATGATGATTTTCATTCATTCATTTAATAGAGACATAACTCACAGACCACAAAATACATAAAAGTCTGTGGTTTTTAGAATATTCACGGAGTTGTGCAATCATTACCACTATTTTTTTTTCTTGTATTTGAGACAGAATCTCACTATGTCGCCCTCAGTAGAGTGCTGTGGTGTCACAGCACACAGCAACCTCCAATTCTTGGGCTTAAGTGATTCTCTTGCCTCAACCTCTTGAGTAGCTGGGAGTGCAGGCACCTGCCACAACACCTGGCTATTTTTTGTTGCAGTCATCATTGTTGTTTAGCTGGCCATGTCCAGATTTGAATGCAACAGCCTTGGTGCATGTGGCTGAAGGTTGCTGTGAGCTGTGATGTCACAGCACATTACCCAGGGTGACAGCTTGAGGCTTTGTCTCCAAAAAAAAAAAAAAAAAAAAATCTGGGCTGTTAGCCATCACCTCCACTCCCACAGTCTCCTGGCCCTGGCAACCTGGACTTAATGATTATCCAGGCATTCACAAGTACCAAAGTCAAGTCTACAAAGCCACGTGTACTCCAAAAAAAGAGTCTAGCTTTTGTCTTCTCTCAGTCTCTCTGCTTGGTTTTATCTAGTTGTACCCTTTTCTTTTCTTTTCTATTTTTTTTTTTTTTTTTGAGATAGTCTCACTGTGTTGCCCTCGGTAGAGGGCTGTAGTGTCACAGCTCACAGCGACTTCGAACTCTTGGGCCCAAATGATTCTCCTGCCTCAGCTTCCTGAGTAGCTGGATCTACAGGCACCTGCCACAGTGCCCAGCTATTTTTGTTGTTTTTGTTGTTGTTGCAGTTGTTTAGCTGGCTTGGCCCAGGCCCGGTTTGAACCCGCCACCCTCCGTGTGTGTGGCTAGCTCCATAACCACTGTGCTACCTGTCTGCCCTTTGAGTGCCAAATCCACATGGTTTGAATCACAGAGGCTCTATAATGTGTTCCAGTATCTAGCAGGGTAGTTCCACCTCCCTGCTCTTATTTTTCATGGGATCCTGCTGTTTTTTGCTTATTTGTTCTTCTAAATGAGCTTGACTGGCCTCAGTTACTAGAAAAGGAAGCCTGTTGGTATTTTCATTGGGATCATGTGGAATAAGTACATAAACAGTGAGAATGGATGTTGGCAAGGTGTTCCAAGCCTCCTTGCGCCTTTCCAGAGTTTCTATGAGATTTCTTTGTGTAGCTAGCTTTGGACATTCCTTGTTAAACAAACACTAAACCATTTTACTTAACTCTCCATGCTGATAAGATGGAGCTTCTCGACTGTTGTCTCTTCTTCCAAGTGGTTTTTGTTTGTGTACACAAAGGGTATCAATTTTCTTTTTTTTTTTTTTTGAGACAGAGTCTCATTATGTTGCCCTCAGTAGAGTGCGGCGACGTTATAGCTCACAGCAACCTCCAGTTCTTGGGCTTAAGCGATTCTCTTGCCTCAGCCTCCCAAGTAGCTGAGACTACAGGCGCCCATCACAACGCCCAGCTATTTTTTGTTGCAGTTGTCTAGCTGACCCAGTCAGGGTTTGAACCAACCGGCCTTGGTGCATGTGGATGGCACCGTAACCACTGTGCTATGAGTGCCAAGCCTGTCAATTTTCTTTTTAAGGTAACATTTTCAGGCTCGGTGCCTGTGGCTCAAGCCGCTAAGGCGCCAGCCACATACACCTAAGGTGGCGGTTCGAATCCCCAGCCCAGACCTGCCAAACAACAATGATGGCTGCAACCAAAAAATGGCCAGGCGTTGTGGCGGGCGCCTGTCGTCCCAG